ACGATGACAAGGGGCAGAACTCAGAGAAAGAGAGACAACTGCGGAGACTGCAATCCCTGCCAGTATTCGCATCAAGGCCGCGCCTTCCCACAAGAAAACATGAAAGTAACAAAACCTAGACCGAGCGTTCCCACTCGTTTAAGGTTGTCTCTAAGTACTTTCTAATGACGGTTTCGGCGCCGGTCGTAGGAATATTCTACAGCAAGTTCGTAACTAATTTTTCCCTTTCCTCTTAGATTTTTGGCTCACCTTTTGTCTTTATTGTACAGTGTTATCGACTCCGGATATGGGCTTTTCCATTATCTAGCTCGGCTGGCACGTATCCGGGTCATCTTCCTTGGTAATAATGTGACTGATTGTTTCTTAATCACGCACATGAGCAAACACCTCAAGTGTTTCTTATTCGCATCACGAATTGTTGCGTTCTTGCTTTGTCATGTAACTAATGCGAGAATTGCGTCTTCATTTCCCTATTGTTTACGTGGAAGGTACGGTGGCGCCTTCCAAGGAGTGGTTTGACAGACGTTAGGCACAGTGCTGTTTGCAGTTTGTCTGACTCCTCGGTGGTATGTCATCTTCTGCTTTGACTTTGCAGCATTCAGTGTTAGTCCGCATCGGAATTCGGTTGTACTTGTATTTGAGAGCGGCGCCAATTAAAGGACTTGGCAAAAAACACGCAGAGTGCCAAGGAGCGCATCGGCGACAGGCGCGCTTACGACGGATGTTGCAGAACCGGCGGGGACGTCTGCGCGCGCGTAAAAAGGCAAGCTGGCGGGGCATGGACAGACTGATTAGCGTTTTCAACGGCCCATGTATCCTCCATTCCCCTGGGCAGTGAGATTGGGCGGCGAGTGGTGACCACGACACGGGCCGGCATCTGGCCGGGGCTGAATATGTCGCGGGGTGTGTAGGACTTTGTTAAAAGATTCTCACTGGCACACCCTATCATTTCGGCGGTTAGCCGGAGTAACTTGCGGTACTGCGGTGTTACGGCTGGACTTATAGTTGCTCTTATACTAGTACAACTCCTGTACCTTTCCTCTACGTTTGACAAACTATACATCATGTTACTGACTGGGATTATCAATGCTGGGTTTTCGTTAGCATAATTTAATCGGACTACAGGCACTACCAATGTGACCATAAAAATTCGATCACATGCAAGGGCAGACCAAAGATTGGAAACCCGGAAGTAAAATGGAATTCCGAACAATGAAACACCATAAATTAGGCTTAGAGGGTAAAGAACGGCGTGAAATTAGGCTAACTATAATCTAGACATCTTTTACGACAGATAATGAGTTTCTTCCGCTTCCGATTGAGATGCGCCATTGGGTCGAAATTTACTACAAGCCGCGAAGTTCATGAGTTATTAGAACAACCGTGTCATCAAAGGCGAAATGGGAGTGGGAGCATGTCTGTACGGCCGGCGAAAGGTTCCACTGGAAAATTCAGGAGAATCGATGTGCGGTTGGAATCGGGAATAAAGTGAGCGTCGAAGTTTTATACTCTGTTCCCCATGGCTTACTCTGCGCTTGCCTCCACAACACAAACATTGCTAGTAAGATTCTCCGCTCCGTATCGCAAGCAGGGTTAAAAACGGCTCTATTAGCTGACGAGTCCGTTATATCAGGTTGTTGGGGTTGAAAACAAGTACGATGCTGCCTTTAACCAGTTCACGTACTTGGCGGGGTCATCATTATTAAACGAGATGAAATTGCCTTCGCCTAAAGTGAGTAGGTGCTGTAATTCAATCAAGAAGTCCTGTGCAATTGACGCGAGTTCTTGGCGCCTAAGACACAATTTCAAAACCGTCATGTAATTTACAAGAAACTTAGAAGTTCATATCATTTGGGACACATTCCATGATGAAAGCATACGAATTTTTTCAATACGTGCCCCTTTTTTCCTATCTGGATTACAGTAATTTCATGTTATGTACGTCTGCATTTCAGTTGTTGTAAGTGGTTAAATGTGTTTTTGTACATTTTAAATTTATGAAAACATCTTTTTTTCTGACATTTCCTACGTTTACTTTCACTTTTTCCTTCTACTTTCCATGATAGGTTTGGCTCAGTCGTGTCTGTAGTCGAGAGGTCAGGAGTTAGTGAGAGAGCAATTAAGTCAGGTAACACCGCAGGCGAGTCTCCCCAACAGGCATGATATGTGTGAAGTGAGATCTTTTAAGAACACCACACACCCCTGATAGTCTCATACACCCTCAATGTGTATGAGCGTACTATGTGTCTTTAAGCTTTTTTCTAGAAATTTCCAGTCTTTCTGAGGCTTCGTCGACAGAGTACTGAGATAAATGAAAGGGGATCTGCCCAACAGGTTACTATTCTCACTCACGACATTCTATCTAGCACTTTTCACGAACAGCTCAACAGAAAAAAAGGGGAAAACTCTCGTTCGCAGCGATTTGTTGGGATACACCAAACATTCACATTCGATCCAGTATTGCATCGTTGCATTTTACTGGTTTTTCCTCGTGTTCAGTGATTTTCGTAGTGTAATCGGTAGTCAATTCCATTAATGTTTGACTTGCGAGTTTATGACTTTCCTCTGATTAGTCATTGCCAAGGTGCTATTGCCTAGGTGCTCAAGGTCAGGTAGGCCGGGCTCGTCATTCGCTTCCAAGGTGACCGCTGGACCACAGCGATAAGTGACTGGACTCCACGGGATGTCAAACGAACAACTGGATGAACGCCCTCTTGATGGTCGGACTTCTTCGTGGAAGCTCTGAACGAGTGACATAAAGATCACCGTGTCCCTTGACAGAGCTGGGCAACTTTAGCAAGTTGCAAGGACGAGAGATGACTGAGAACGTTACTGGTGCCCAGGGTCAGCATCGTGATGTGTGAAATGGTTGAAATGGTAGTGTAGGTGCGACCCTCTCCCCACTTCTCAGAGAGGGTGTCAGTATGAGTTCCCACACCTAAATGAGGGTCTCGGTACCCGCCCACCATTCCCTCCCTTCCCCAACTCCTACCTACCAATTCCCGCATTTTCCCGTCCAGTTTTTCACCCAAAATTCGCCGTCGAGCGGGGGGAGGGTATATGTAGTACACGTGAAACAGGCAAAATCACGAAAAATCAACAAAAAGCAGAAATTTGTTTCTAACGCAGCAAATTTCTCTCAGGCGCACATACGACCCCTCTCTCTCCCAACGATCAAATACGACTCCCTCCAGCTCCCCAGCGTACGACCCCCTACGTATTTCGCACGCTGTACCCTGCTGGCGCCCTCTGGAGCATCTCGATGTGGCTCAAGTAATGCATGTGAATCATTGCTGGTGATGGGCCTGTGATTCTTTTCCTGATGCAAGGCATACAATCGCATCGAAATTTCAATATGAAAGAGTTCTGCGTTACTGTTCCCATGCTTTGCTTGAGAGGTGCTCCTTGAGAATTCGTTGCATTTTCGTAGCTTATTTCTTCCCTTATAAACCGCCAAAAGACTTGTCTGATATTCTATCCTATAAGATTTTCGTCTGGGTGTCTACACACAAAAGCCGATGCGCAGGTCAGTGAATCAGTTCTATTAGCCTGGCACCACTCACCTCCGAGGATGATTAGAGACCTTGTTCTGAGGAAATCTGCGACGAGTCAGACTCCCGAACAAGTCGTGAATAGGTGACCTGTCACGGCTCCGCGTTCACGTTCTGGATAATCTGCGAAACCTAATCTGCGAAACGAAACGTAGAACTCCTGAAGGATTCCCCAGCTCACGTTGCATTAAGATATGAAATACCTAACGAAAGCGGCAATATTAGCTGATTTATTCACCTGCTCTGTGAACGTACAGGTCTAGATCTAGAAAACGCAGGCATCGCGCAAAATTTCGATGCTTGAGGACAAACTGCGCCCTCACCTTCGAAAATCATAATTTTCATGTGCGAGGGTAGCGGGTTAGCTGCTATACAAGCAGGGCACATCATCGCTGGGGATTTCCCAACAGAGGGGGTCGTATGTGGTCGCTAGGGGTCGCATTTGCCTTCTCAGAGAAGTTTGCGCGGCACTGGAGAAAATTTTTTCCGACGTTCCGCGATTTTCCCTTTTCGGGAAAAAGTAGGAAAATTCTCGGGGAAACTCCGGATAAATCGGAAAATGCGGTAGGAATCAGGGAGGAACGGGTCGTATCCCCCGAAAACTTCCCCAAGCGGCACACAAGCCTTGAAAAAAAACCACAAACCGTATAAAGGGGAGGCCATATCAAGCCACCTTTTTTGGGGGGGGGAGTGGTCGTACAGACTCATCCAAAATCCCCAACCCGTGGTGTGCCATGTGTGCAAGTATAACCTCTTACCCTGCCAAAAATAAGGCCAAGTGGTAGAACGATGTGGTCTGTCTCTCCCTCAGCTATCGTGAACTGCAATGTGGACGCCGAAGTCCCTTGGCAAAAAGCGCAGATCATGTAGAGAACACGCAAAAGTGATAGGGCGCAAACAAGAGCGCGTGCGACTTTGGTTAGGCCTGTGGCTGGCCGTGCGGTATATTACGTGTCTGCACGCTTTGCCAGTCACCAGTGTCCTACGGCCTTATTTCTGCGCACTTTTGAGTGACAAAGTTGTCACACTTTTACAGCTGTCAACTCGTTCTCCTCGCACATGGCAAGGATCCATCTTGCAGTAAGCGTGCAGTGCTCCCACACCTATATCTATGCGGTCCACGCTGAAATGTTGCCCACGTGCATGCGACTTCATGCCGTGCGCTCTGCCGCTCTCTTTTGTCTGGTATCTCACCCACGCGCGCTGTATTCTTTCTATTCCCACACCTATGTAACGCTTGATACAAATGTGCCTTATTTGGGAAGTTCTCCATGGTTTTTGCTCTGGGCTACTCATATGTCCCCTTCACATTCATTTTTGAACATCTTGTGACAGCGAGATGTACTTTTAACTTCCGACAAGAAGGGAACACTTTCCAGAACAGTACTCATTGCAAGTAGAAGCGTTCTCTACAAAGAAATGATCCTAGATTTTGGGCGCAATTCACATATGCAAAGCCTATCAGCTCCAGCCACAGTACTCAGTAAGGATCAAGATTCTGAAGCAAACTCTAACCGGTAACAAAGCCACGAGATAACCCTTTTCGAAAGAATGCACTCGCCCTGTGGGCTAGCATCTTTTCTGACCTCTTGGTTTACTCAACTGCTACAGAAATTCCTTAAAGAGTTCATTTCAGAGTCTTTATCACACTCGCTGCAGTGTTTGGCGTCAGCCTTGCGCTTACAGGATTCGATAGCATTGAAGTAAGTAAATATTTCTAAAACAACAATATAGGCGCAAGATTACCGAGACAGCTTGCATTTGACATTCATGTGCAAAGGACAAAACCTTTACTGTCCGAAATTTATAAGCATCAGTGCAACAATGGAGCTACCGCAACCCGAATCAACAAAATATTGACATCGAATGAACTGTAATCCCGTAGTATTAGGTAAGAGGGAAAGTTCTGTCATATTTTTCTGAGGAAATGAGAAACCTCTTTCCTCAAGGATTAAGAAGTCTTAGTTCTCAAAAAATATGATGGAAAGTCCGCACTAGCCTGTAGGTAAAGGCGACTGACGCCTATAGCGCCGCAGGTCAGCTAGCTACATGAACTTTAATGAATGGTCCTGCTGCGAAATTCTGTAAGCAAAGAGCTAGGGGAAAGCGGCTGCCGAAGCACTGTAACTAGTACGCAATAATGAATTTGAGATCGAGATGTGCTCCTCACTTACAATTTTCAGCAGAATATTGCAAGTAGATATTAATTTTCAAACAACTTATAATTTGATTGCTCCAGCCAATCTTCATGCTTCACCAAAAGATGATATGAGCAGAACCTGCAAAACAGTTTCCACTACTGCCGCTAGCTAGGTACAAAGAGAAGGAGCATCACAGCAGTTGATGTTACGTAGGGCAGGGCACATGTTGTTGGGTAATCCCCCAACAAGAAAATCGTATTCGGCCGCCAGGAGAGGGGCGGGACGTATTTGAGCTGAGAAAAGTTTATTCTGAAAGTTGATTTTTCTCGCTTCACGGAAATTGTAAAAGGAGAAGGAGTCGTAGTTGCTCATTGTTGGGAGGGGGGGGGAGTCGCACCAACCCCAAAAAAGAGGGGAGTCGCACAGACTCGACTCAAATTCCCAACAAGTGATGTGCCCTGGCGTACTCGAGCCAGAATATTTGCTTCTGGAACCTTGCCTAGCCATCACACTATAGTGCGGATGACGGCTTGGTTGCGTTTGAGAGCTGAAAAGCGTGTTGGGAATGTAATGGAAAATCATAGAGCTCGAAGAGCGTTTGAATCGAAATCAGTGAAAGGCAGTACGTCCTGCATTATGGGATACATATAGCAATAATTTTGTAATTTTAAGAAGGTTCCGAGAGCCAAGTTCAAATGCATGAAAAGTGTCGGATATTCCTTTTTCGTTGGGCGAGTTTACCAATCAAACAGTGGCGTCGACCACCGCGGAATCAAGAACATCAAGGATGCTCAAGCAGGTTGGTTGCGTTTTTCACGGTATTTGACTTGGTAACGATTTGGAATATGTCCTTTGATGGGAGTTGAAGCAATGATACAAGTTGAAGTCAGCACGAGCAGGAGAAAGTCTTGAAAAGAATGTGAAGGTGAAAAAAGGAAGATTTGCAGGACATCAGGACAAGAAATCCTTCAGCCATGCGATAACGACTATTCGACTCTTCACGTTAAGTTTATGAATGCTGTAAGGCTATGACTTTAGCCATTGAGCTAATTGTGAAAGCGTAGGAGCGGCTCTGGCTGCACAGTGAATAGCGCACTTGCCCAGGAAGGGCGATGTGCCCGTTCCACTCCCGCATAGAACCGACTTTTCCCATAACTCAGCATTTATGAAATGAGATGCTTTTATCCACTGGCTAAAAATTCGTAGTGTGAAAAATCTTGAAATCTTCAATTAGTGCACCATGTTCAATAGGATCAGCCCACAACAGGGCTGCTTTGCTAGATAGCTCATCCTAGGAATACTGAGGGCGAATGCAGGTCTCAGTGAAGAAGACTTACCCTTTCGGCTTTGCCTTTACCCCTCTAATGCAGCGCCTTAAGAACAGCTTGGCTCCAAAGGGCCCACTATTGAAGATAAATCATCAGCGAGCTAGAGCACTAAATGGAAGCGCAGGCTTTGAGACCAGTCCTACCCACTCCAAGCAGGTTTTCGTGCTTTTTCGACAGGATCCTACGAGGTGATCGCCAGTAGTTCCACCGGCTGTGTGTTGTAGCAGCTAGAACATTAGTCTTGAGCCGCAAGCTTCTGAACCACACTGATTGTACCGCAATCTTTGCATACTTTAACAAATTCCGGTGGAGCTTGATTGTGTGGCGCATCTCGAAGAGCTTGCGAACTGGCCGCTAATCACCATCTTCGCCAGTTCTTGTCTTCCTGATGGCTTTAAAAAGCTGGTAAAGGACCATGTGTTTCAGTATTCATCACTCGCTATGACCTTCCACTTCTCGTAACGAGTTCGCAATACTTTGAAGGCATAACGTCCTTTGACATATAACCGGTACTCCGGTCTAAAATGCTAGAGGGGTGTTTATAGTGGGGGGGCGAAAAATGAAGGACACGAACGGGGTGTTTATAGTGGGACGGGAAATGAAGGAACGAACGCCGCAAAAGGCCCAAAACTGCCAAAAAAGCCTATGCTTCCTAATAAATCAAGAAAAAATTTCGGGACGATTTTCTCGTAGGCATCTTGCCAATAATCGCTACGGTAGTGAATGCTCGCACTATGTACCCAATACAAGGGGGGGGCCAAAAAAGGCACTTTCTTCTTCCTCGACTTCCAAAGCGATATAAGTTACACTTAATTAAATTCTGATTGGACATTTCCACACCATAATCAACAGCATATTGTATACTATCTTGTATACTATCACAATACTCCGCCACCGCCTTCTGGACCAACGCCATTGAGAGATTCTGCCACTCGACCATGATTCGGTGCCTGAGTTCAGCGAAGTGGCAGACTTCGCTACTGTAGACCACCCTGCTGAGCTTGTTCTGGACCCTGTAATCGGGGGGGGGGGCTTAGGTCAGGTGACGCAATTAGTTATGTCGTCTTTTGAGGTATTCAACGTCCTTCAATTCCCTTCCTTGGCGGGAAATTGTCCAATGCCCTTCGACTCCATATGCTGGCAGCCTATCCTGTAACAGTACGAACTTTCCAAGACGGTACAGACGACGACATGAAGGCAGGTATTCTCCTCGAGCTGTACGATATAGCTGTCAGCGTTCACTGTCAGTCGGGGTCGACGAAGAATATATCGGTCTACCATTATAGGAGTTCCCGGTCCATACCATCTAAATGCGCCTTGGCGACTGCGGTGAAGATGACATCCTAGACCATAGCGACAATGCAGGAGCTCCTCGATGCTGTAGGTCTTCCAGATCAAGAGTGCCGATTCCCAGGTAGCATCAGTCCATGGGTGACTCGATACAAGAAGTTTTGCAGCCGTTTGGAGGTGACGTGGATCGCATAGGCCTACTCCAGCCCTGCTGCCATAAGAGATGGTTTCATATTTTAGTGTACAGGGGAGGGGCAAAAAAAGTCACTTTTCTTCATTGACTTTCGAGGCGCTATAATTTACACTTTATTGAATTTTGATCGGACATTTTTACCAACATATTGAAGAGCATATCAAATACTATCATGACACTTCGCCACAGCCTTCTGGACGAGCCCCATCGAGAGATTCTGGCACGCGACCACGATGTGGTGCCTGAAATCAGCGAGATAGTCGGTTTTCTCCGCGACCGTAGACCACCCAATTGAACTTCGCTCGTACCGGGTAATTGAGAGGATTCACAGGTGACCTACTTGGATATGCCATCTTCTTTAGGCACTCAGCCCCCATCCAATCCAAGTAGGCGAGAGTTTCTCCAATGCCCTTTGATTCCATGTGGTGGCACCCAGTGCTGCAGCAGTGCAAAGTTTCCAAGAAGGTACGGATGACGACATGTGAGGATATTCATATTCATATAATATTCTCCCCGAGTTGCTCGATGTAACCGCCAGCGCTCGTCTTCATTCCGGGGTCCACGAAGAAAATATTGGTCTTGTCATTCCGGGTACGTCCGGTCCATACCATCAACAAGCACCTTGGCGACTGGGGTGAAGATAATGTCCTAGACCGTGGCGACGACGTTGTCGGAGCTCCTCAATGTTGATAATCTTCCAGATCAAGAGTGCTGGTCCCCAGGTAGCTGTCCATAGGTGAGACGATACAAGAAGTTTCGCAGATGTTTGGAGGTGACATGAATTCCAAAGGTTTTCTCCAGTCAGGCTGCGACTGGAGATGACTTCACATTTTGGTGTACATGAAGCTGACGGGCAAGAGCCGCTCTTATCGGAACATTTTGGGTAACTTCCGTGTGGTATTCGTCTCCACTTCCTCTGTCTGGGCTGCGAAAACTTTGCTGATATGTGACTCGGTCGAAGTGACTTTTTTTGGCCCCTCTGTACATGGAGGTGATGGGACTGCTCCTGCTCATCGAGGAACAGCTTGGACATCTAAAGCTCTGGTACTCGTATCGACGTCTTCTCTCTGCGCTGCGTACACTTTACCGATATTTGCCTCAGCTGAAGTATCTTTTTTTGGACCCCTCCTGTCTTCATGCAGCATCGCGGCCTGCTCATAACAGTCTCTTCGCTTCATATTTTACTTCGCAAATGAAGCAATATGAACATCAGGTACGGTCGTCCATTTGTGGGCGGGCGAGTGCGGTGGGCGTTGAATCGGTATGTTGTAGGTTGATAGGGCCCTATAGGGGTGCCTTTCTTTAGAAAAGGCGCTGCTCAGCGCCTGCTCATTTGAGCGGCAATCCTCCTGCAAGGCGTATCGATCTTACTCGTCTTGGGATTTGTCGTGGCAACTGTTTTAATAATTTACAAAGCAAACTAATTTATTAAGTGTGCGTAAACTCCGCCTGAAAAACCCCGGTTTCACATATACAACCTTAGAGACGTCGTTACAGTTAGATTCAAACGCGTTGACGGATATATCTCCCCCTGCCTGACCTCGTCCTGCCCCAGTGCCGCCAAGCAGGTAACTTTACAAAATACTAATTCGAATGTGGTGTCAAAACGAAAGGAGGAACTTTCATAATTACTGAGCAATTGGCAGGCCTCGAGAGTTTCCACTGCACTGAAGAAAGCTGGAGTTAAAGTCCAAACCATCTGGATTGACGTTGAGAAGAATAAGTGGTCAAGCAATAAGAAGAAAAATCGTGCGTTCATCAGTAAAATGGGAAAGACGCTCACCGTAAGAGATATTGCTTGATAGACATTCTTGTGCTGCTCTCATGCTCAAGCTGTACCCCAGAGACAATTAATGTTTTTCTAGGATCTTGGACACACATGGGGCATTTATACCAACAAGCCCATGTGGAAAGCAACTGTAGGTTCTCACTATACCGCTTTGAAGAATAAACCGCTGTGGTGGGCACGCTACGATAACACATTGGTGAGTATAACATACCTAGAGCTACATGAGCTCCAGTATTTACTTTTATCATTACTATATTGAACAGCTCCAAGCTGTTCAATATTGTAATGATAAAAGTAAATTTTGGAGCTCCCTCAAAGCTTCAAAAAGTTCGTTTCAGGTTCTGCGGCTATGATAGCCGCCCATCTCCGCCCGTTTGTATAGCTGATGTAGTCGCGATCTATCGGGGTGGTGTCGGAAGGGGTGGTAGGGGCCCGCCTCCAGCTACGGTTTCGACCAATAACAGTCAGTATTCAACCGAGTGAGACAGACGGACAGACAAACACGACAGACAGACAAACAACCAGGGCTAGGCACCGCCGCGGGTGGGTTCATTCTATACCTCCTGATACCTCCTCTACTGAATGCGACGATATGGGGGGGGGGGGATTGCACTGATTTGGTATTATAGGAGCGCTGGGAAAGGCGAGCTGGTACTGATGACCACCTATTGCACGAAACTAGCAACGACAAGAGAGATTTAATATTATTTGGAGCAGCGGGAGCTAAAAACACATTATTCAACCCAGGGTAAGCATCGTTGTGTGAAACACACTTTTCCGCTGGGAGGAGAGGGCACGTATTCGGTCGGGGGGCAGAGGGGGGGGGTCGTATGTGGGTCTGAGAGAAGAGCGTTTTTTGTTTGCTGCGTTGGAAAAAAATTTTTCACGGTTGTTGACTATTCAACTTTTCGCGTGATTTTGCCTGTTTCATGTGTACGATATACCCCCCCCCCCTTCCCGCTCGACGGAAAATTCTTGGATGAAAAACTGGACTGGAAAATGTGGGAAATAGGTAGGTGTTGGGGTTGGGGGAGGGGTCGTACCTACACTACCATTTCACACGTCACGATGCTGTACCCTGATCCCACCACCTTCGAGGTGCGCAGCTCCGTAGCCGTGGGTGAATACCTCTACGCTCATCGAAAATGCGTGGAAAATTACGTAATCACACTGCTAGTCATCGCATTGTGGTTACTTTGATGCAGTCGTCACAATTTGGTTCGGCACAAACTTAGCTGGGTACCCTTCTGTGCCCCAGCCTAGCTGAACTGCACAGAAAGTGGTATTGTACAGTTGGGGGACTGCGCATATCGCCGTTGGGAAGGTTCCGCCCACCCAGTATGCCTCCAAAGGATAGCTTTGAGTAGGCCCAGACAACGGTGTCCGCGAGGACTTCTTATACAAACCCTGTGAGAAACAAAATTATTTACATCGTGTAACCAATGAAAAGCTCAGAATAGAAATATGTTTCACTATTTCCCTTAAATGTGGAATTGATGTGAGTTCATAGAATAATAGAGAAAATGGTAAAATGATTTCAACCGGCTATTGTTCTCCCAATTTCACAAGAACTAATTCAAAGAAATCATCAAGATTTTTCCCACAGTGTGGAATTAATTGGAAAGCTCTGCGCACGATCCTATTCAACTTCGTAAATATACATTTACTACTCATCTTCAGGTGGTCATTCAGATGTTTTAGAGTTTCAAAAACTTCAAGTCCTTCGGTGGATGGAAAAAGCCGAACATTCATCAATACAGCGGTTACTCCCTTGGGCCGTGCTCATTCAAGATTGAAGAAAATTGGTATCCAAAAGGACCCTAGCCCTTGTGCTAGCATCACATTACAGTTCCTGCATGATCTTTGATAAACGACTGATTTGCGTTTTGCATTGGGATCTATGATACACGATTTATTGTTTTTTCTTATTTTGTAAAAGGTATATAGAGTCTTGTTCGCTGCAGATGCTCGGGCGTTTCACGGAGGCTGAGTTTGAGGCAGCGCCAACCCGTTTCCACCAGTTCAGCAGACAAGCGACAACAACTGGTGGAAAGCGAGCCGGCAAACCTAGCCTCTGGAAAGGGCTATTATGCGCAAACAAACAAGCTATACAAGCGCGAGGCTTTAGACCAGGACAATATGTACACTCCATATCTCGTATGTGGCAAAGGGTGTGGCTGCGTACTTCTAAACATGATTTGGGAATGCGCTGCTGTTTCTTTGGAGACAAATAGAATCATTACTTTCTCTAGCACAGTAAGGTACTGTTCTACAAGGGAAGCAATCTCCACGGTAAGCGCATCCCAAGCCATGTTCATATCAAGTATAGTTTTATAACTTGCAAATTCGTCGGGGGCGGCACGAGCTCGCATGCGGCTGCCTTGCTCTACCAATGGTGATCGAGCATGATCGACATCAAAAGGAAGCAGCCACTAGCGGTAAGGCAGCAGTGGGAACCGCTGATGTAACCCGATTAGTCGCGGTGATATCAGCTGTACACAGGCACACCTTCTCCAATCTCCTGGTATAGAGCGTGTGTTTTCCTGAAAGTGACGTGGAAGCTATGAAAAAACATCCAAAATGTATCGGCGGAGAGTGAGTGCATTTAGACTTTTGCACATCAGAATGGCGAAGTTAAGAATTTTCTGTCAGATCTAAATAAAACCAGGTCGCGTATTAATAGGATTTATGAGCCAGTTTATTCAATAAATCAACAAAAGGCGATATATAGAGCGCGAAGCTTGCATAATCCCTGTACAGTACTGTTCATGTCTATGAACATCTGCTTCCGATCTCGAAGCACTGATTCAGTGAACAGTTGCCGTGCGAGCATGTAGGCCGCCATGGCTCAGCTGATTCGACGCCAAGATGCTACAGCAAGTCAACTAGCTAGGAAAGTTTGTATGCAGTATAATGAACTCTTCAGAAGATCATCGACAAGCGTACAGTGATGCTACGATTTTAGTGGCCTGATCATATACCAGTACTTGTTTTCTCAAAAAAATGACCTGAAATGTGTCGCTGTCTGGAATCAAAGACTAGGTAATTGCGGCAGACGCGGCACACTTCGTTAATGACGCACGTGGCGATAAGAACTACACCAAACAGGATGCAGACCGCCAGTTTTGGGTCTGTTTCTCGACAATTTGGAGAGGCGAGATGACTAGTGGCACCTGTATTGTCTAAAAAATTTTTCGAGAGATTTGACGGCATCCAAAACACCACCAATAAAAAATCATGAAATACGTGTGCTGTTTTTACTGAGAACCATGTTTGTCTGCACGCGCTGAGGTAGTCACCGCGCTTTTCGTCCATCTTTACTTTCGAAGGAAAGGACGTACAGCGCTGGTGTGTAACACAGAAATAAGCTGCGGGACGTGTCCAACAGTGTTGCTCGGAAAATAGCGCGAGTGTCACTACTTCAAGACAAATAATCTTTTTTTTTCTCTTTCTCGAGGTCAGACACCAGACAGATGAGCACGCGCCATCGTACATGTGAACGTAATTTTGAGACCAACACCTGGGAAGAGATTCCCTCACTGTGCTTGAACTGCTAGTAAAGCTGCAGGAGCCAGTCTAACACTGCTCCTCTAGACAGCGCGAAGATCTTTAAAACCGTTACAGACGCCTATCTTCATGACTATGATTTATTAATAAAGGAAATAGAACACAACATAATTATCTTGCACGGTGACCGATAGAAGTTAACATAAAGTTGAATTTATAAAGGTATGGAAATGGATTGGAGCGGAGATTGGGTGGGACAGTTACAGGTGATCAGCAGGAAGAGCACAGTCTTTCATTATGAACTGCAAAAAGTTGCTTGCTTGAGCAAAAGTAGTTCTGAAAAAATTCGTGGTAGCCGAAGTGGTTCACTTACCGCGATGCTTCTTACCCTTCTCAGATAAAGTGGAAGGTTAATCGAGATCCAATCGCCCAGGCACGCTATCGTTTTTTTCAAATTTCCAAGCCCGAAATTCCCAACTCGCGTATGTTGAGAGGGTGGCAGAAAAGAAAAACAAATCGTTGCTAAGCGCTCGCACATTTGCTTTAGCTGTCACTGCCCCTGGTATGACCTTCACTCCTCCGTGGGGTATACTACCATTGGCCTGGATATCACGGATATACGTCTGTTCTCAAACGTGAATGAGTACCGGTAAGGTTTTTGTGCTGGGAGAGGCGCCAGGGCACCGCGCTCTTGAGGGTCAGCCCGGCGCGCGACGAACCTGTCGCGAGTGCGCGGGCAGGCGCTGAGTCCTACTGATTGGCTTTTTGCCAAGTTCCGATCATATCTGAGCCCGCAATTTTCTTGTAGCTGTTCTGGTCTTTCTCACCTCATCGTCTATCTGCCAAGAACGATGTCCAGACAGGTAGACATGTTCAAACGTGAAAACATAGCTCTTAAAGCATCATATGCGGGTCGGCGCGCGGTGTTGACCCTCCCAGCGCGCGATCTAGTTTGGAGGCGCGGCGGCGGAGTCCTTGACAGCGCACCCCTTGCGTTGGCTGGAACCTTTCCACTGAACTAGTGCTGCAAGAGTTCCCGTGGACGCTAAATGGCTGTTTGTGAGGAACAGGATATATTACCGCGGTCACTTCCTCACCGAGGTGGCGGCGGTGCCTATAGGCGGGCTATTAGAATCACTACTTCACACCATTCCTAGCGTCACTGGTTTCCGCCGATTCCGAAAATTTCCTGCTTGCTACTTGTGTATTAATATTGAGTGTTTATTGACACAACACAATTGTATTTCGCGTACACAGTACAATTCAAATACGCAGCAACACAACTACTCCTGCCGAAACGTTATCAGTGAATATAAAATAACAAACAAGCAGAGCGAAAATAACGTGAACAGCTAGTTGAACTAAATCCAGAATCATCTGCGCGCTCGAATTCAAAATAGTGTCTAAGTCAAGCAATGATTTCGACAGGAAATCCAATATTTTTCACTTGTTTCCTGTTTGTTTTCTCTACGTACTCTTCTCTACGTACTCTATGGAGCTCCCACATGAGGCAGTCTGCCTAAAAGTTAAAGACAGCGTGGGTACGCTCAAACCATTTGAGGGCGTATGCGACTATCAGCCCCTCTGCCTGTCGATGTGTTGTGGTCCCAAAACCAAAACGTGGCACGGGGTCAGAGTACGGGGCCGCTGGCAAAGTCGTAAATTCCTTGCTACACCTCCCTTATTCGCAAAACTCTTAGCACCAGTCACGCACGGCGGCGTGGATCGCCGTGCAGCTCTCTTGGCTTTTCGTGCCAGGTCCTGTAATTGCGCTTATGGAATACAGAGTACCGACAATTTTCGTTATGCGATAGCATTTTCAGATGCTAGCAAAGTGAGAAGCACGAAGATGAGTGATGAGGAGCTAGCAACTCAGGAGGCAACTGTCTGGTTGCTTCTCAATATCCAGAGGCGCACGCATTCGCAGCAGAACGTGACAATTAAAAACGGCCTAAGCGTCCCACTCGCGTTAGTTGTGAAGTATTTCTATAGCTTTAGAGCGCGACTCGAGCCGGATCGCAGGAAATGGCGCACGCGATCTTAAATTAATTTGCGTTTCCTTGTTTGTTTTTAATTTTTGTTTGTTACATCCTAACTTCGTTGTTCTGGCCATTTCTAGCCTTCTGTCATCTTCATCACCCTTGTATCACTTTTGAAGCATGAGCCCAATGACCTCAAATCGTTATGGAACCTGCGTTTTGCTCGCATTACTTGTATTGTCATGTTTTATTGTCATGTTGTCCGTTTTTATTGTCATGTGTGGGAATGCGCGGCCCCTGAGGGATATTGCAGAAGTACCACAGTTGCTCTTAAGTTCTGGCCTTCGTCATCATCTTCGATTCTTGTTTTGCAGCACCTAAAATGTTATGCGCATGAAGAAATTGCGTTGTACTCGTATTCCAAAGCGCAATTACAGGACTTGGCAAAAAGCCAAGAGAGCTGCACGCGACACGCGCCGCGCGGACGATGTTAGTAAAAACGTGAGTTTGCGAAACGGGCGGTGTAGCAAGGAGCTACGACTTTCCCACGGCCCCCTACTCTGCCCCGTGCAGTTTTGGGAGGGGGGACCACGACACATCGACAGCTGGGAGACTGATAGTCTCATACACCCTCAAAGTGTTTGAGCGTACTATGTGTCTTTAAGGGAAAAGGGGAGGACGACGTCTGTCCTGATTGTTGACTTTTCTAACGTATTACTGTTAACATGTGTTGACCGATCGATTAGAATTTCTCAGAACTATCCAGAAACCATAGGTTTGTGCCGAAGAACTGCACGTTTCCTTGTCTCGCTAGTTTCAACACTTTTTCAGTAAACTAAGACTTTTTTTACCATGTATTGTAGATTTGGTGAGCACATTATATGAACTTTCTGACGTGTGTGAGGTTCAAATCTCATTCAGAAATGACTTGTTTTTCATTTTCAGGTGTCTAATCGCGATTTTCGACTGATTTAGTTTCACGTTTCAGTTCAAATCGGGCCGGAATGCCGCTCAAACCACTTGAAATACAGACGTTTGGGGCCAGGGAAGTGGCAACGAATGCGTATACAACGTTGGCTCGAGGAGTTTCGTGCCGCCAACACCCTCGAAGTTCAACCACATGGTAGCCGTCCACCAACACTATTGAAGGAGTCACTCGAAGCTGATCTGCACAGAACCACGCGACATATTGACAAGGAGCTCAAGCTTTAACTGTTTTGTCCCCATCGAACTGGGCAAAGGCAAGAAGTTTGACAGGTGAGTTTCACGTGAAGCTGACCGAGGGCCAGAAAAACCCGCTGGTCGTCGGACCACTTTAAAGGACCGCGCTTCTTGAGCAGTTTGTGGCTTGCGATGATAAATGGATAATCTCCGACGAAAGTGAAGATCTATCCGGAGGCTGTACAGAGAAGAAAGCTCTACGACATAGCTAGAGCTGAAAACGGAAAATCAGATTATGTTTACGGTTTCGTGTCTTGACCGGTTATGATCACTTACACTTTTCTGAACCGGATGAAGCGGTTGGCAGTGGAAAAGTACGCCGCATATCGACGAAATGCACCAGAAAGCTGCCAAGTACAGAGGGGCCAAAAAAAAGTCATTTTGCCTCCACGAATTTCAAGGCGCTATAATTACATTTATTAATTTTCGGACATTTTTACTAGCGATAAATTAAGAGCACATTAATCTATACATGATACTCCGCAGCAGCCTTCTGGAGGAGCGTCCATCGGAGATTCGGCCGCGCGAAAGTGCGTGGGTACCGGTAGTTGAGGCGAGATCGTTGATTTCTCCGCCACTGTAGACGCACTGTTGAGCTCCGCCCGAAGCGAGTAATTGAGGGGGTTAGTTCAGACCCCCGCTTAAATACCTCATCTTTTCCAGGTACTCAACGTTCTTCCATTCCAAGTGGCGAAAGTTTTTGCCAAGCGCCCTTTGATTTTAATGTGTTTCTCACAATCCTGTAGAGTACAAAAGTTTCCAAGAAGGTACGGGCGACGATGAAGATGGGACATTCTCCTCGAGTTGCTCGATGTAGCCACCAGCGCACACCCTCAGTCTGGGGCCCACGAAGAAAATATGCGTTTCATCCATCCAGGTAGGCCGGTCCACACATCAACCGTGCTTGGTGAATGGGGTGAAGATGATGTCCTCGGACCGTAGCGACGTTCCGGAGGCTGTCGATGTTTTGAGGTCTTTGCAGATCAAGAGTACTGGTCTCCAGGTAGCTATCCATGGGTGATTCCATTCAAGAAGTTCCGCAGCTGTTTGGACGGCCACGTGAATTCCAAAGCGTTCTCCACACAGGCCGCGACTGGAGATGAATCCATATTTTGGTGTACATGAAGGTGAATGGCGGCAGCCTCCTGCTTATAGAGGGAGATCTTGGGTATCTTCCGCCGTGGTATTCATATCCACTTCCTCTGTCTGGGCTGCGAAAACTTCGCTCATATGTGACTCGGCCGTAATGACTTTGTTTTGCCCCCCCCTGTATATGCACGCATCGATAATTTAAGAAGTGCGTGATCCTACCTTGCAACACTAGGCCTAGAGTCTTATTGACCACACGCCAAAACTGCACAGTTGAGCTACGAAACAATGGATTCCACCATACTGGTCAGACCCGCTAGTGACTTTGTTATTCCGAGTACCTTGACAACTTCTTGTGGGAGAAACATCCAGAAACCAAGATGATGTGCAAACTGCCTTCAATGAGTTCATCGCTTCCAGAACCCGATACCGTTAAGATAGTAGCGTGATGAAGCTTTTGATTGTAACGGCGAATAGCTTGATTGAACACATTTTTTGTGGCTGAGTTATGTCAATTTGAATTTGACGTAGCAAAATCCGCATCCTTTGCCCCAACCTCATACATCACAGACGCGAAAAGGCTTCTCAAAGAAATTCGGTCAGAATTAGCGAGGAGTTCTTAGCGATTATTTTACATCACTCTTAGTTAGTTTTTGCTCATTTCTGCGGACATTTCGTGGCGCATTTGCATTGTGTGATTCTAAGATCATGATTGCTGATAAGCTCCTTGGACAGCACAGCTTTGCGATGTCATGTTTTGCTAACGTCACAGAATTGTGTCTCCTGAGCCGTAAATCGGGGTAGGTCTAGGCGTGGTCGGTTTATCAGTAATTCCGCCTTTATCAGCGTCTAAGCTGCATAAAAGTCACGAATTTCCACTTTCCAAACCACTGCAGTCCAGCTGTAATGTTGTAAGTATCTTTCTTCACTGCTCACTTTTTTATTAGTGTTAGAGTTACCAAGTTAGATGCTCTACTAATAAGACTATTTCAGAGCCGTAACCGCACTCGCAGCTGTGCTTGGCGTCAGCCTTGCAACCACAGGATTCGATGCCATTGGAGTAAGTGTACACATTTCTAGAGCTTTAGTATTTTTGATAGTTTTGAAACTCTTGAAAAATGACTTCAATCCGGAGAGGGCTCTATGGGGGCAGCTGCTGGTGCAGTCTCCAAGATGCTTCTCAATTCAGAGACTATTCTCGCGATAAGTGTTACGGGTAGTTGGTGTTCAGTCATGAACCAGTAGCCCATAAGTAGTTCCTAAAAGAAAAAACCAAAAAGCTTGAGAACACTCTAAAGACCCCCTAGCAGTGGTCGCCTTGGACGAATTTGTCGGACGTTGGCAAGCCCAATCAGCATTATTTGACGTGCCACCGGTTTCCGGCCAGAGGCACAAGCAAATCAACCTACGACACCTCCGCACTAGCATACGCTACACACGCAACTCCCTTTGTAAAGCCGTTGTCTTGCAGAGTGAAAGTAAGTCGCTGGTTGCCAATAGTCACGTGTCTCTTAGCTCCTTTATCGCCGCCGTTTTGAGTCGCATGAAAGCTGCTATATTCCTTGCGAATTGCAGGGGCAACGATGCCACAATGCAAGGAGCGCATCTTAGTGGGACCACCTGGTTCGACAACCTGCCTCTAAATAAGGTATCGACATCCACTTATCTGGGGCACGCCGTGCTTTCTCAAGGTCTGTGATCATTCGATCCTTGTAAGACGTTGATTTTTTACCAAATTAAGCGTGTTCCAAGTGATGACAGCGTTCGTTGCGCGGGGAGGAGAAGGACGGGCATTAAGCCGACAACTTATTAAATGACAACATAGCTAACGAACTAACGGCAGACGCGACACGTGAATGCATCAGTGAATGCATAGATTGCTAACTATTTCCAAGATGCTGCTAAAGTTGATTTCACTCGGATGCTCTTGCGTTTAAAGCGATCTTTTCCAAGCGCGCAGGCCGGACCTGTGCACATGACCTACAGTGCCAGCCGCTGTGTAACTTCCTGCTAATGTAATTGAGTTTAGCAGTGTTTCTCTCTCAGACAAACTTCGTTATCACTCGATTAGCACCTTAACCGGCCTGCCGCCGACAGTGCAGTGACATCCCTTCTTCGCGGCAAAGGTCTGTGTTCGCGTGGCGCCACCTTCCTATCACTACGCCGCTTGTGCTTCCTCAAATATGAATATTCGAAAGCTGCCGAATTCAGGAAAGTGGCGCAGCCCAGTCGCGTCGGATGGCCTCACAGTTTTCGTTTGCGGTATAAATCTATCCCATCAAGCGTGTACACCTTGATTACTCAAAGAAATAATGCCCCACACGCTACATGGGCGCGTTACAAACTCATTACAATACAAAATTCTTCAAATGTACTTAGTAGCTGAGAGTCTGCCAGGGGTAGTATGTTAGTCCGCGCTGCGTAGTTATGTGCTTTGCGTTTCAGAGGTCCACTTCAGAGGCATACTATTTCGCCTAAACTAGGTTTCCCCGTTAACAGCAGCCATCTAGGCTTTCTTCTGTCGGACATAACAATGGCTAGAGAACATGCAAATCCCTTCAATGTATTTCCCCTTTAAAAAAAAGCTGCCTTCATGTAATTCAGCCGGATATCCTGTCTAAAAAAAACAATCGAACAACTTGATGATCCCTTCCCAGGCATTCTCTACTTCGCAATTTACTTGCATGAAATCTCATGGCATTCGTTCTACATTGGGAGAGTTTTCCGATCCAATCGTGCCGGCGACAGCAAGGAATTCAGCAACAATCAAAACATGCTCATTCAGGTACACCCCGCCGTTCAAAACAACTACAAAATAGCATAACCCTCGCATAAAAACGGGTGGTAATTATCTTTAAATGCCCTCTTGATAGCTTATTCCCTCAATAAAATCCATCCAACTGGATTTCCATATTAACTATCGCATATGCATCGCGCGGCAATGGTGCTATAATCCTTCTGCGGTGAAGTGCCATTGATTCAGGCGAGCATCAAACAGCGCTCTTTTAGAATTGCTCACTTGCTCTGAGGCTCGCGAACGCTACAGTTCTAGGGTGGCAGATTTCGAGCGAAGCAGATGCAAATAAGTAGCAGGGCCAATGCGCTTGGGAATCGGCCTTCCCGTCCAGTGTAGGCTGGTTGTAGCCCTTTTTTAATGGTACTCCTATCTTTGGGGATGTGCACGAGATCAAAGGTGCCCCAATTTTTGGGGCAAGTATTTCCACCAATTATTGGAAGAATCTGGTTGCTATGGCGCATCCAAAGGATTTAGTTGGCTTTGCTGGTCATTCCTCGTTCTTCCTATGCTGTGACTCTTTGATGACTCCTAAAATAAGAATTTAGTAAGATACACGTGCAGGCGTCTTGCTGCTGTTTCCAGTATCCCCCATGCCGGCTATAATCATCTATATACAAGTACCAAAGCAGAGATGAAAGATGCCCATCACCTCCACTACATGGAAAGAGTCCGGTTGCATGGCGCATCCCAAAAAAATCTACTGTATTAATTATCTTGTTGTTCTTATCTGTGACCCTTTGTATGACTCCTCCGATAGAGGTTAGTAATGGAGCACCTGAAGCGTCTTGCGAAACCTCCAGTATACTCCCCATAGATTATGAACAACTGGTTTCCAAGAATTATGTCTTTTACGAATTACCATGTGGACAAACTGCTGAGGTTACCGAGTACCCAGCGGGCATACCCCGGTTTTCGACTTTTAACACAACCGCAGGTTTCGAGTATAACAGTGTAAAAGGCAATGTTGCAGCTGGACTCGCTCACGTTGACGGATATATCTTCCCTTGTCTATCCTCTTCCTGCCCCAGTGCTTCCAAACAGGTAATTTACAGTAAGCTTATTCAAGTATTGTACTGTAAAATGTGTACGTAAAGGTATAGCGCGACAAGTAAAATCTATATAAACTTTGAGTAATTGTCAGGTCTCTGAAACTGTGACAGCCTTGAAGAATGCTGGCACTACAGTTGGAATGCTCTGGCTTGACATCGAGACATACGCATGGCCAAGCGATCACACGAAGAACCGCGCTTTCATCGAGGAAATGGGAAAAGAATTGACAGTAAGAGTAGCTGTTATTATTGAAATTTTTGCTTCGAATAGTTGCCCTTCTCCTCTCTTCGTATGTATTATTTTCGAGCCTGCTTATCAAAAGAAATATGACTAGTTAAGAAAATCAGCGATATATTCTTTCAGAGCCTTGGACAGAGCTGGGGAGTTTACAGCAACTACAACAATTGGCAATCAATTGTTGGTCTTGACTACACCGGCATGAAGAGCAAACAGCTGTGGTGGGCTACCTACAACAACGAAGCGGTAAGCGGACATACCATGTTATCAGTTTTGTGAACCCATGGTTGATATCACCGCAGTTGATCGGGTCGCAATAAGGGAGTGATGGACTTCATATGCGGCGCTTCCACCACTGGTCGTTTTCTTTCTTACTCGAACATTAAG